CTGGAGCCCTCAGTGGCTTTTCAGGCTTTTATTGGGATTTACCGGGTACACAGCAGACAGGGGTGCTGAGGGGGCCGGGAGGCTGGCAGGCCTCCCAAGCCCCCAGCAAGTCTTCACTCTATCTGGGCTCTCCGGCGTGCTCTGCTTCTCTCAGCTTCTACTTCTTTCTGCTTCTTTCTCGGCTTCTTCTCTCTGCTTCTCCTGGCATCCCCGTGCCGCTGCCCTTAAAAGCCCAGTCTTAACCCAGGTGAATCCCATCTACATATGCCCACGCCCTATTACAGCTGCCCGCCACCAGGCATGCATTCAGGACCCATCATCTATCCTGATGGCAGGAGGGCAGAAAAGCCTGACATTTTTCCCTTACCCTACACCCTAATTTGCTTTCCTTTCTTTTTTTTTGTAAGATTTATTTATTTATGCATACAAAAGCTGGGTGTAAGCCAGAGGTGCAGATTCACCAGAGAGAGTGGGGAGCAGAACAGGCAGATATATTTAAATACACTGCTGAGGAGAGCAGCAGGCGAGGCAGGAGAGGTCTGCTGCGCCATGTGGGTTGCTCCCTGTCCGGGCGGGAATTGAACTTGTACTATAGGGCTGGCAATAGCTTGATTGCGCTGTCTTTAACCCCCGCGCCACCAGGGAGGCCCATCATTTGCTTTCTTTAGACAAATTTAATGTAAAGGTTTTTAGCCTGATGCTTTAACAAAAAGTATACTGCTGACACTCTTCAGAGCGACTGATAAGGCTCAGGCCTGTCCATTACTTCATTCAAATGAGAGGGTTTACTTGCTTTTAAGGTCTCTTGGGCTATGATGTTGTTATGGTCCTTTCTTCTGGTCTGCTGTTTCACTTTCACAGAGGACTGGTGGAAAAAGGGAGGGATCCTGGGCTGTGCTCTCTCCCTACAGTCCTGAATCTTCTTACTGAGGACAGACATGCATGCATCAGTGATTTGAGATGTGGGTTTTAGTTGGTTGACACCAACTACCAGCAGCCACAACTACCAGCAGCCACAACCACCACCAAACTCCATTCCTGGGTATTTTTTCTTCAAGTAGAGATGATGGTGGAAATACTTAACATTTGCATCTCAAGAGAATTCATGGTGCTTGAAATAAAAACATCATAGATTTATATTAAGCAAAGCAGTAGGAAAAGGTTTTTAGCACAATTTAATGAAATTTCTGATAATGGGAAATTCCTTTAAATGGTAAGCCATATTTCAAAAACTAATAAAAAATGTTCAATTTTGAAAACAAGGAATAATTTCTTTCTAGTTGATATAGTTTAATCTGTATTTTTGTCCTTTTACTTTTAGATAAAGAAACTTTTAGATAAGGGCCTCAAACTTTGCTTGCTGGCTAAGATTACTTCCTATTATAGGTTTACCTTTAGTTTCCCCAAATCTTCATGCTTAGCTTTTGGAGCCACATAAATTTCTGCCCTGAAGTCTTATTTTCACAGGAGATTTGGTAGAAAAGAGAAAGATTGGGTAGCACTCATTCATGAAAAAACAAAAAACTTCTTTTTCTTTTTTTAAGATTTATTTATTTATTTATACAAGCACTAGGTACAGTCAGAAGCGCGGGAGGGTGAGAGAATTCACCAGAGCCAGAGCGGGGAGTAGAGCAGGCAGAAGGACCGAAGCACACTGCTGAGGGGAGCAGCAGGCGGCAGGGGAGGTCTGCGCACCATGTGGGACCCTCCTCCGGTGGCTGGGGAGCAGCCAGGGATTGAACCGGCGCTCCAGAGGCTGCTGGCAGCTTCGTAACCCAATGCTCAACCGCTGCGCCATCGGGGAGGCCCAAAACAAAAAACTTAATAAACTACATAGTTTGGGATATTTTAAGTTGGTAATTGTTGTTGCTGTTTTGTTGAAATAATTAACTGAGGAAGTGTAAAATACTTAATAGCACAGAGGGTTCTTGGATTCCAAATCCAGTTCTTTTACTGTGTAGCTATGTGACATACCTCTGTGATTCTCTGTTTACTTATTTGCAAAATGGGTATTTTTGAGTGTGAGTGTAAGCGTATGCATATATCTATATTTCTCTGTATGTCTATGTATGTATCTATATGTATATATAGTTGAATATGGATTGAATTGGGTATATGTGTAATCAAATATGAATATATTAAGAAGTATTACATATATGTATATAATTGCATATGTAATTGAATTCAAATATAGTTGAATATGGCATTATAAATCATATACAATATATATATCATTGAATACACCATATAATAATATATAAAACTGAATATGACACATATATGTACACATATGTCAAACAAGTCTACATAGCCATGTAGTCTACAGAACAATGTCTTGGACTGCTGGTGCTGATCTGTTTGGATCCACACATTTGGAGTCTTTCACATTTTCTTACAGGCCTGAAGAAAAGCATTTTGGTTTATGCATTTAAATTCAGGGACCTCTTTTCCTGAGAAATGCAAGCTATTCATTCATATGTTTTCCCCAGTTTTTTATTTTGTTACATTTCAAACATTCAGAAAAGCTTCAGGAATATACAATAAAGACCTTTTACACCTTTTGCTTAGATTTATCAATTGTTAGCATATGGCGACATTGGCTTTCCCTCTGTTTCTCTATCTCTTTTCCCTTCGTTGATATGGAAAGGATTGAAGAACCATTTGAGAATTTACTGCAGACATTCTTACACTTCATCCCTAATACTTTAGCATACACATTGCTGCTGTGGGAAACTATTTCCCAGTTAGATTCAAACAAAGAAAACAATTAGTGAATAAAACAAAGGAACACAAACTTATCTGTAAATTAGAAACTATTTTGTTTCTCAGAGTTAGAAATCACATTCTGTTTTCAAGTTCTTGATCTTACCAATTAAATACGCTCGACATTTCTTCAGAATCATAGAAGTCTCATGGTAAATGAATTGGAACCAGAATTAAATCTGCTTCTATTTGGGGGTGCATTGGAGCTGCTCTTCTAGTAAGAGAAGAACATTGGACTGTTCTTTTAGTTAGATTCATCATGCAGTTAATTTTGGCCTCAGTTTTTATTGCAGGGTTCATTTTTGTCCTCCTTCTATCCCCCTGTGGCATGTGCCTTGTCAAGCCTTTTTTTCTGGGCACACAAATCCAACCTCTTGTGGTATCAATATGAATAATTTCATTTCTACACATTATCACGTTAGTACTTTGATATGCCGTCTCTGTCCTCTGCTAACCGCTCTATTTTTTTCTTAACATATATTCATCTTTAATATATTTTACTTTCTCTTGCCACCATTTCATTTCATGTACCTGAAAGATGTCTCTTTGGCAGTTAAAGTAACATTTCTCTTTTTGGCAATGTTTAAAATCACTAACAGACTCCATTTAATTTTCTCCATCCTTGCTTCCTTCCTGCCCCTCCTTTTCTGTCTCTAACTTCAACTTGTTGTTGTGTATCCTCCAGGTAGTGTTCTCTCTTGTTTTATCTTATATTATTTAAAGATGGACAAACAAGCAAGCAAACAAACCAACCCTTTTCATGCTTGCATGCACATGTGCTATTCATCAGATTGTTGGTCCTATGGTGCCAGGACAACTCTAGCTCTTTCTCCCAGAACTGTACACATTAGATGTATGACTGATACTTGAAACTCTTTGCAAAACTCCCTTTGCTTGTGTAGGTAGGTATTAGCGTCCTTCTCCGGGCTGTTCACTCAGCAGGATGCGGATGGTGACTTCTCCCACAGAACCCATGCCCATCAATAATTCTGAGGGTTGCATTAGCTTTCAGGCTGTAAAATGATAGCCTCCTGGGGCTAGAAGGAGGATAAGAAAGGTCAAGGACTAAGGACTTATGTAATGTTTGTTTGTTTTGTCTTGTTTAAAGCCAGGATGGGGAAAATAAGACTTCTGTTTTCTTCTATTGAGACTGTGTGTCAGAGATAGGAAAGTAGGGAATCATGTGCATTCAGAATACAACAGCCAGTAAAGACAGTAAAGAGAGGCATAATGTCTCTTCAGATCTCTCCTCTGTCATTTTCTCTTTGTCTTTGATACTCAGGTGTAGTTTATAAAGGCCTTAGCTTTCTGTTTAAATAACACTGTGACTCAATAGTGTATTACCAAAGATTATTGCCACTAAAGGCTTTGCCTTACTGTACACCCAAGTACAGTTTAATGATATCCCAGAATGATACTATGTACTGATATGCTTTAGTGATGGTTATTTTATTCCTAATTAGCACATTAATTTAGGCTTTTATATTTCACATGTACTTATATTCTTTTTAATAGTTCTTTTCCCCCTTTATTCAAAGTAAATGAGGCATTATGTGTTTGCATTGTATTTATTAAGCACATACCATGTGCATTTCACATTCTAATTGTCTGCCACATTTAAAAAAATAGCTTTGTTAAGATATATTTCACATACCATATATAGTTCACTCATTTAAAAGATTCAATGGATCTTCATAATATTCATAGAGTTCTAGAGTCAATTGCAGAATATTTTAATCACCTCAAAAAGAAACCCCACACCCTGTAGCCATCACCTCTCAAACTCCTTCCCTTCCCCTTCTGGCCCAGCAACCGCTGATCTAATATCTATCTCTATTGACTCTATTGATATGTCTATTTTGTTTGTTTAACATTTTATTTATTTGTAAGTTTTTTTAAAAAATTGAGGTAGCACTGGTTTACAATACTGTGTGTGATTTAGGGGAATAGGCTGATAGCTCTTTATATGTATTTTACTACATACAGCACACTCACCACCACATCACCCACAGTTTGCCTCCATAGACCATCAGACTACCCTCTTTTTCTTCCACCCCAACTTCTCCCCCTTTAGTAATCTCCATTCTTCAGTCATATTTTTATGGTTTGTTTTAATTTAGTTTTGTTTGTTCCTTTGTTTTGTCTGTTTGTTTTCTTTCTTTTTTTCCCTGTGAATAACTTACCTTTATTTTACTTACTTGTTTGTTTTTTCACATTATAGGTTTTTCTCTCCTCAGGTGCAGTCACCATTGTTTTTGCATGACCAAAGCACCCATCTTCCTCAACTGTAGTCCATTGTTCTCCCCACCCTGCTTTCTACCCACTCCTTTCTTGGATGCCTCATATCTATGGTAAGTTTTCAAGGGTTGGTGATTTTGCTTTTTTTTTTTTTTTTTTCATTTTAAAAAGACAAGACAGGCAGTTGCTCAAAGTAAGCTTTTTTCTGATCCTTTGTTGGTTTCTTTATATTTCATATATAAGTGAAACAATCTGGTACTTGTCTTTCTCCTGCTGGCTCACTTTATGTAGGATAATCCCTTTCACATCCGTGTTGCCACACATTGTCTGTGTGTGTTTGTGTGCATGTGTGTGTGTGTATACCACATCTTCTTGATCTACTCATCTGTTCTGAAGCATTCAGTTCATTTCCATATCTTAGCTGTTGTAAATAGTGCTGCTATAAACATGGGAGTGCAGGTTTCCTTTTGAATTACTATTTTTGTGTACTTTGGGTAGATACCTAGTGACGTAATTGCTGGTTCCTATGGCAGATCTTTTGTTTCTTTATATTCCATGTATGAGTGGAATCGTTTTCTGACCTATTTCATTGATCCTGGCTCCCTCCATTTCCATCCATGTTGCTACAAATGACATGACTTGTCTACTTTGAATATTTCATGTTAATGGAATCTTACAATATGTCATCTTCTGTAAATGGTTTCTATTATTTAGTATGTTTTCAAGTTTCATCTATACCATTCCATGCATCAATTCTTCACTCCTTCTTATTGCCACATGGCAGTCCACTGTAGGGATATATCACATTTTATTTATCCATTCATCTGGTGGTAGATACTTATTTCTACTTTTTGGCTATTATGAATAATGCTGCTATGAATATTCACATGCAGATTTTTGTGGGGGCATATGCCTTATTTTCTCTTGGGTGTATACCTAATAGTGAGATTTCTGGGTCATATGATAACTCTATGTTTAAATTTTGAGGAAATATCAGACTATTTTTCAAGATCCCATTCATACTCTATGATGGCTTCAATTTCCCCACATCCAATAATTTTTATTATCTGTCTTTTTGATTATAGCCAGTCTAGTGGATGTGTAGTAGTAGCTGATGGTGGTTTTGATTTGCATTTCCCTAATAACTAGTGATATTGAACGTCTTTTCATATGCTTATTGGACACATGTCAATCTTTGGAGAAATGTCTGCTTAGATCCTTTGTACCTAACATATTTTCTTTTCTTTTTTTTTTAAACTTTTTTTTAAATTTATACAAGAACCGGGGTACAGGCCAGGGAGGGTGAGAGGATGCGCGGGAGGGCGAGAGGACTCACCAGAGCAGAGTGGGGAACAGAACAGGCAGACTGATGAAATACATTGCTGAGGGGAGCAGCAGGCACAATAGGAGAGGTCTGCTGCGCCATGTGGAACACTCCCTGGCCGGCAGGGATTGAACAGGTGCTGCAGAGCTGCGGACAGCTCCATAGCATGCCGCTCAACTGTCTGCGCCACCAGGGGAGGCCTTAACATATTTTTAACACTCATTAAAAATTTTTAAGTAATTAGATTAATTATAAACTTTAATACCATAGAATATCTTGATTTTTGTAGTCAAGAATATAAAGGTGACATGACTTACCTAAGGCCAAATTGAAGTTGCTTTTTTAGGATTTGGGATCCTGTATCTCTCCTATTGGGACCAAAATGCTTTGGATGATGATCCAACCACATATCTATAAAGAACATAGCCATGGTGAGTAAGTGCCTTTGATAATAGCTATATTATATCTTGCCAACCAAGTCCCACAAAAACTTGCAAATCAGAATACTTGTACTTGACCTTGAATTAATCTGTTTAGTACATTTCATTCTTGTAGAGTTAATTTGTTATCTGTCTTTTATTTGCTTAGTTTCTCAAGGCACATTTTAGGTGATTACAAATTGACTTATTTAGCCAGTTTCAGAGATAAGATTTCAAGAGAACAGTTGAGGCTTGTTATCCCTTACTTTCAACGTTTATAGAAAGACCATACTAGAGACGTCAAAAGATAAATGTATTTTATGATCAAAGAAGAAGATAATTGGCATTTGTTGCAGTCATTTTTTTTAAAGATTTATTTATTTATGCATACAAGAACTGGGGTACAGGCCAGAGGTTTGGGGGTTGAGAGGATTCACCAGAGACAGAGTGGGGAACAGAACAGGCAGACTGACTGAAATACACTGCTTACGGGAGCAGCAGGTGAGTCAGGAGAGGTCTGCTGCGCCATGTGGGTAACCTCCCTGGCTGGGGATCGAAGTTGTGCTGCAATGGCTGTGGATTGCTTCATAGTGCTGCCTCTTAACCCCTTGTGCTACCAGGGAGGCCCCCCAGTCATTTTTTTTTTAAACAACATAAATAATGCATTTCTGGTATCCAGCCCTAAAAAAGGCAAAGAAAATACTTGTTAAAGGATAAATATATTTGTAAAGCGAATTTCTTTGGCAAATCCCATCTAACTCTCCTAACCATTGTGGAATCATTTCTAGTTCACCCCTTTACTCTCCAGTGTTCTTTTGTTCCTTCTAGCTACCATGAAGTGTAGCTCTGAAGTTCCAGAGGATGATGGATTTTCCCTGGAGTTGGAAAGTTTGCTGCAAGTGGCACTCAGGCCAGCCAGCAGCAATCCTGCTCATTTGCCCCAGAAGTGGCACCACAACACGGGAAGAGCATTGCATATTTTCTGCCCTGCTGCTTGCTGACAGAGGCTTAACAGTACAGATGTGGAACAGCCTTGGAAATCAGCCAATGTAAATGAACGGAAACACTCATCGTTTGCCCACATTGCACCACTGACCCGGGCGTTGAACGGAATCCAGGTCTGATTTTACTTCCTCTGGCCTTTCACTAAATATTAAATGACTGAGATAGAATTTTTAGTATGTGAGTCAATGTGTTCCTCTTTCGCTGTGGACTGGCCATGGAGCACAGTATTCTTTTCATAGACCAAAGGTGTGTTATTAGAGCTTTTTGTTTCTCCCAGATGCATTAAAATTGCTCTAGTCAAAATAAAATTCAGCTTCATTCTAGTCCAAGGAACAGGAAAACAATTTAACATCAACACACACAGGACACTTGGGGCAGTGACTTTCTGGGAAGATGTTAGTGTGTCAAGTGCACTGCTCTATGCATGCCGTGGTGTCAGAGCCCTGGATCACAAAACTGGAGTCTTAGAACTGGTTTTTACCTTACGGGTCATGTCACATAGCCAATCATCTAATAAAAAGGTTGTCTCAACTGTGACCTTGGGAGATGGCCATCCACTACCCACTGAAATACTTCTGATGATGGGGGCTCTCTCCTTACAGGTAGGTCTATTTCAGTGCTGAGAACTTCTGATCCTTTGAATGATCTGCCTTATACTGAGACTTCTAAAATGTTCCAAGTTTTTTTTTTCAAAGGGGACCTTTTGTTCCATCAATAATATTGTCAGAAAAGCAACTTGTACAAAAGATAAAGCACTAAACACCTCACTTTAAAATGTTCAATGGGTGGTGAATATGTACAATTGCAAAAGTTAATTCCCCAGATAAACCATAAACCAATCATTCTACCATCTGGATATGAAAGGTGCTGGGAGCACTCGTTATTCTGAGCACCTGTGTTATGGAAATTGTTGTAGGAGTTAGATCTCAGTCTAGACAAATTCTTAGATTGATATTTTGAAAAGTTATGTCAGAATTAATACTAATAGAATTTATGTTGTAGACTAGACATTTAATAGAAAACATTATTGGAAAATTGAGTTTAAATGCTAAATTCACTATAATTTTGGCTAATTGCTTTGTTAGTATTTGGCTGATTTTTCCTTATTATGGAAAATTTACTTTGATTTCAGATAAATTTATGTACAAATTAGTTTGATTGATAGATGATAGAATATATTTTCTTCTTCGTGCATGTGTATGTCTAAATCCCCAAAGATTCTAGAAAATAATTCAATACTGCTTCTTAACTATTTTGAATGATTCTTAATTGCTGATATGAGGCTGCTTTTGTCTCTCACTTCTATAACAACAGTGAACCTACATTTAGGTATCTTTTCCAAAGTAGCTTTTTTTGTTATGTTACTACCTTTGTTTTCCCTTTGTAAAGGGAGTATCATGGAAAGTTTGGAGGATTCTCTTGGAAGAAGGACCTTGGGAATCACAGACTCCAGTGTGAAACAGTACTTTTGTGATGTGTGCCCTTGTAGCCTGGTTTACCTGGTTAACACTTGTCCTCACAAAAATGCCCCAGTTTGTACAATAAATCATCTGGTTTCCCTTTTTAAAGCTCATTTAGTCTAATATTCTCATTTCAGAGAGGTGAGAATTGAGGACCTGAGCAATTGAAGGTCTCCCCAGGAATTGGGGACTGGGCAGGGTCTGGAATCCACCATTCCTGCCTAGTAGGATAACAGTTTCTCCACCATAACAAACCCTGCCATCTCAAAAAAAAGCTTTTGATTTTTGAGGGATGGCTTGTGAAGGCCAGATTGCAGCAAGAAGTTATAAAAGCAGACCTAGCAGTGATTCCAGTGATGCAAGCTAAGAGTTACATCTGCCCTGGGTGCTCCTTATCCTTAAAGGACAATGTTAGGTCACACCTGCTTTTCCCCTAAGCCAGTTTCTTTCACTTAAACTTTTTTTTTCATCTGACAAAATTTTAATCACATCACAGCCCCCATTTGAATCACCTCCCAGTTTACCAGGTTATTTATCAGGTAACCTTTTACCCAGGTACTCATATTGGAAAATACATTCTTCTAAAGGTATGCCTAAATATTTTCATGTAAAAGTTAAAAAGAAACTGACTAATGATGTCAGGCTGAAGAGATGCAAGGCCAGAACACAATATAGGAATGACTGAAAAGGATAAATGAAGCTAGAACAGGTTCAGGCTTGGAGACTGAGTGTTAATGGCTCACTGTAGTGCAGTCCCTGGTGTGAAGTGTTGGTAATAGGGCAGAAGGTCTCATTTAATTAAACAAATTTTAGCTTCAGAGCAAATACCTAAAAGGAAATCACTTCTCATTGCTGATAGTTTTTTCCTCTTTGCCCTGAGTTGGATTAATAACCGGAGTTTGATCTTTGCTATAACATTTACACTTACACACTTACAAATGGCCCAACAACTGTTGGCAATTCTTGCAGCTAATAGGGAAAGCAGGAAACTTCCTTCAACACATCTTTACTTTGTGTTTAGCCAGCAATTTGAAGCTGTTTCCCAAGCCTGCCTGGAGGGATGTGTTAGTGGAGTGGGAACCAACGAAGGAGTGAGGGAGTGCTGTCCCAGTGCCCTAGAACTAACGAGGCTATGGGGAGGACCAAAATTGTCTTACAATATCATGGCCATTGCTTAGAAACTTGAAAGGAAAGAGTGTTGTGTGCATTTCACAGGCCTCTTTATTTTTCCAAATCCATTCAAATACAAGATTTGTATATATTTAGGAGGCTCAGTTATTTAAATGATCACTGAGGATTAAAAGAATTCTGGAGCCTCCAAACCCCTGCTGTGTCACTCACTAACTGGCTGTTGTGAGAGCAAATTTTTTCAGCTGCCCAATGCTTCCATTGCCAATGGAAATAAGCACAGAATTGGCTTCTTTTCTGGGATCTAATTAGGATTAAAGTTCCCAACTGGTGGCAGAATAAATAATAAATTACATGTGCCTTTGTGCAAGCCATTTCCTCTGTCTGCAAAGCCTTTTACCCCATCACTTCCCATCAGTCAAGACCAAGCTCTTGACACCACATCTTGATTTCCCCAGGTGGAAGTTATCCGCCCCTCTCTTGAAATCCTACTGCACAGCACATTGTCTCAAGCACCTAATATTTATAGCTGTATGCCTTACTTCTCTTATTAAAAAGAAAATTATTTGAGAGATGATCTATGTTTTGTGTATCTTTATGTCCTTCAAAAAGCCTAATGTTTTGCTTGGCAGGTAATAGGTGCCTAGGAAATACATATTGAATAAATGGATGATAAAGGCATAATGCCTAATAATAAGAGAGGGACTCTTTATTTACTCTTTTTTTTTTTAAATCTAGTTCCTACATGACCTAAAGGGGAATTCAACGGAATTTTCCCTTCAGTTTCTGGGTCACATGAAAATGTAAATAATTCAGTTATTTGAGGTCTGTAGCTCAAATAACAGCTCCCCATTCACCCTAAAACCATCCACTTTTATTTTGTTGTTCTTTTCTTGAATGTAGTTGAACTAGTGTGTATAATTTGGACATATAAGATCTGGAAAATACTTGTAGTCCTACTCAAGTAGCAGCAAAAACAGACATTTTTACATAAGTTCTAGTCTTCTGCATGATGCTTTTACCTGTTCCTTCTTGTTTTGCTGTCTTGTCACTCTTTTAGGTAAGACTAGCATTTTTATCCTAATTAGACAATTACACATCATGATGCACTAATTTGTTAACCTATGTTCACAAATCATTTAATTACCACTGCCGGCTTTGATGTGCTGTTATTATTCAGTTATGGGAGTAAACAATTCGACAGCTAACAGGAAGAAACTCATTATTTTCTGAGCAATGTTGTTATTTTCAGTGTTTTAATAACATTTTATTCAAAACTTAAAAAATCCACTTTAATCAAAACTTTTAAGAAATTTGACATTGTTCTTATAACCATAGTGAATAAACTGAATTTTTTTTTTTGCTTTAATATGGACAATTATTTGGGGGCCAAATAATAGCTCTGGAATTTCACAATGAATAGATTTCATAAAGAAAAAAAAAGATAAACTTTTTTTCTTCTGGCTGATTCACTATCTCCCATAATGGTGTAATTTATAAAATGCGGCTCCTTGTATTGATTTGTGAAGCACTTTGATGGCTGGAGATAAAAGGAGCAATCTTCTTCCTATTTGATGCTGCTATATACTGTCGCTCAAACTTTCTTAATCTTCTAGTATCTTTAATTCCATTTGGTACGCACTCCAGGTCACTGCTATATCTGGGGAACTGTAGGAACTTTGGGGGTTCTTTCTGTGGCTCCTTGATGAATAGAGAAATGAGGCTGCCAGGTGCAAACTCCCATCAGGTTTCACAACTGCTTCTGCTGATAGTTTGCAGCCAGGATCAATAATATCATTATGCATTTATGTGCAAACATCAAAATTACTCCAAGCAATTAAGTTCTTACCTTCCCTGTACTCCCCCACTAATAACACATCCTAAGGAAGGGGAAAGCCTTTCATATTATTAAGAGATATCTATGTGAACCTTATAATAATATTATTGACCCATACTGTTGCCATTTATCACATAGCAAATGAATGTGCAGGTAATTATTTGTCTTGTAGATTCTTGTCGTTTCTCTTTGACGACACTGTGAACTTCTCCAGGGTAGAGACTGTGCCCTCTACCTCTTGGAGTCTCCATATTATCCAGGAAAACACCTGGCACATAGTAGGCTCACAAAAAAGTGCTTGCTGGGCCTCCCTGGTGGCGCAGGTGGTTGAGCACCACACTGTGAAGCTGCAGGTTCGATCTCAGCTGGCCAGCGAGAATCCTATGGCGTGGCAGACCTCTCCTGTCTCGCCCGCTGCTCCCATCAACAGTGTATTTCATCAGCCTGCCTGTTCTGTTCCCCACTCTGTCTCTGGTGAATCCTCTCACCCTCCCGCACATCTGGCATGTACCCTGGTTCTTGTATAAAAATAAATAAATCTTAAAAAAAAAGTGCTTGCATTTCCTGAGCAATAAATGTGAGTAAATGAATAAACTGAACTTTTCCATTGCAATTCAAGGTATGGGTAACATTGTTCTTTATTTTTCTGTTAGGCCAAAATAGGCTCTTCTTAATCTTCTCCCTAGAGACTTTTAGATGGCACTGCATGCCTCCTCAGTGTGAAAACT